GTATGCAGAGGGTCCGGTATGCTAATTTTAGACGAGGAGGGTCAAGTTGATACTGCGTTACCGATTGACGTGACCTTTGTTGAATACGTGTGTGTTGGGCCTGGGAGAATCTATTACACTGACTGGTACAGAAAATCCGTGCACTGCATTGACATGACTGGTGAAGAAATATTCAGGCTGAAGTATAACAAGATGAAGTATCCTTTGGGTATAACCCTAAACAGAGATGGAACGGTCTTCGTCGTTGGACGGGATTCACACAATGTTTTACACGTGTCAGCAGACGGTCACCAGAGGGAAGTTATTTTGGGAAAACAACATGACCTCACCTATCCTCGGGTAATATCATCTCATCATGGTAGCCGTAGAATGTTCGTTACTTACAGTAACAAACATGTTGTTGTATTCACATTGACATAGATGACTCATCATCTTTAAATTTGAAATAAAGTTTTAGAATTCCTACTTAAAATATGTATTCAGATGTTGATATTTTTTCTTAGTTCCCAAAATTATCAGCTGCATGCCGGTCCCTTGTCTCAATGAAGTTTAGTCTTAGATACACGATTTTTTATTAGTTGTAATTGGCTTTGAACTTGCTGTCAGTAACTGCGAGTATATACTCTCAGATCTGCACTTGGTTTCTTTTTTGTTGTGAGGGATGTATAAATACCCTTCCACGTCCGGTCTGTGTTTTTGATTGATGTTTTTCTGCTTTGTATCAATCTGATGAGTTAAGCCCTTTTCAACTGATTTTAATAATTTGTTCTTATGTTTTACTATTACACCACTGTCTCATGTTAGGGGAGGGTTGGCGCCTTCAAACATGTTTAATCCCGCCACATTATTTATAAGCCTGTCCCAAATCGAGAGCCTATAGTTCAGTGGTTGTCGTTGGTTCATGTCTGTCATATTTGTTTTCGTATATTAAAGTTGTTTTGTTCAAAATTAACCCGTTAGTTTTCTCAATTGAATTGTTTCATATTTTTTATGTTGAGGCCTTTTATAGCCGACTATACGGTGTATGTTTTTGTCATTGTGAAAGGCTGTACGGTTGCCTATAATTGCTTTAAACCACTTCATTTGAACTTTGGTGGATAGTTGTATCATTTGCAGTCATGCACCATCTCCTTATTTATATATGGTAGTCTATTATAACGATATAAATCTTTAGTTATTTTATTTCAATTATGAATTCGGATGCAAGATGGATTCGACAACTAGAGAGATAGAAGAGTTTTCTTTGTTATATCTGTTTCATATCCGGTGTTTAATTGAGACAAAGAAAACATTAAGTAATGATGACAGCCATAATGCTTTTTAAAATCCCTTGTCTAGTGAGAATGCTAAGTGAATAAATAATGATAATTCGCCAATAGGTTACGTAGGCCATTTTGCAGGTACTTATAGTGTCTATGATGTCTGTATCTTTTACTAGGATTACTACAGATTTTATGTTAAACCGTTTAACAACATGACTGGACAATCTGCACATAGTGCATGGAAACGACAAGGTGATAGCATTTTGTATGATTGTTTAGAATGCAGAGATTTCGCGCCAACGTTAGTCACTATAACTTAAGTCGGAAAACATAAAGCAAGATTCTGCTGTAGCGCAGTCACGCATGGTGTTGAAAGATAAATAAACACAAATCTATTCATAGTATATGACAATTTCATTACAAACAGGGCACGGTCGACGCTTTCCTTTTGTTAATTTTCCTTTTCTTGATGACGATCCCATACTTTTTATATGGGGTAAATGTAAATGAGACAGCAGACCACTGTGAAATCCGAACACACACACACACACACACCCACAGAATAAAATGTCGTTATGTCAAATTACGGTATTAACAAATAAATATATATTATATTTACCATATCTCAAGCCCAAACGCCCTGATTTGTGAATGGTTTAAACTGCTACAGAGACTATCGCAGGGTTTGTATATCTCAACGGATTTGATTTATCACATGAATTTGTTTGTAGTCAAGAAGCACAAAATCTCGGTTGATAGCAATATTTTCATTACTGAAAGTCTCTTTTTCTTGGACGATATATTGCTTGAATTTTTTGGTCATTGTTTTCAATTATCCATCAAACAGGCCGCTATTATGATTTTTTCCTATTGCATGTATACGTGGTCTTATGAAATGCATTGATCAACGGGGAAAATTGATAAGACTAGTAAATTCGGTGCCATATTTTACAATTGGATAGATGAGTGCAGATGAAGGACAAATTCGGGTTTTATTATTATGTACATAGAACCAAATGGGTTATAGATGCAATGTACAAGAGAATTTATTTTCAATTAGTGTACAGAGAACAGCAGCAGTGATCTCTCAAGATGTCAACTAAAGGAGACTGTAGTTCTTGGATCTTCGTGATCTTATACTTTATGACAAGTCTAATAGAAAAACAAAGGATATGGGTTATCCATACATAACACAAAATCAGTACATGCAGAGCAAAAAAAAACCACACACAATAAGCAAAGGAACAGCGTATTGTTTGCTGTTCTTCATCTCAAAGTCACAATGATGCCTTCAACACGGAGCAAAAAAAAAACCTCTCACCTCACTGCAAGTTTAAGACGGCCCCTAGCACCGGCTAGCCTATCTTTGACGACTCTTTTATTTCTACTCTACGATACATGTAGTGGTGACCAATTTAATGTGTTCAGCATCTCATATAAAGATTGTGTTACCTGTTACAACCATTCACAGAAGATCTCTTGACCATTTCTGAATCAATCTTTGATATACATTCTAACAAAACCTCATCAAAGATACAAAGCTTATAACTTAGTATGCCAGATTCGAAATAACAGCGAATCAACCAATTCAAGTCGAAGGCCAAATCAATAGGAAAGTTCAAGACAAACGCGCTGAAAACCAAACTTCCCTTTGGTTAATAAACTAATCATTTTTTTATAAGTTTTAGATTTTCAAATAGTTTGGCCTCGAGCATCACTGAAGAGACGTTTATTTTCGAAATGCGCATCTGGTGCAGAAAAATCGGTACCGTTAATGTTATTCTATATAGTTGTGCCGAATGAAGAGTGTGCAAAACAGACTACCATAGTTTGCTATAATGATTAGGAGTCTGGTAGATCATTTATGCAACAGGGGAAGGATTGGGGATAAATAAAAAAAAATCAGTCTGTTATTTAATGCTATGCCTTATTGAGAGAAACCTAAATACATAAAATAAATACATGTTTAAATTTTATGAAATTGCGTTCATTAATATTGTTGAGGCTCCACACTGTTGAGCAGCGGTTCGCCAGTCATTATAAAAGTCACTGTAAAGTTTATATATGATTGTCTCTTATTAAAAAAAGCTATCTAAATGTTGAAGCATGTTTAAATAATAACAATATATAAATATATATATGCAATAGTATATATGATTTATTATTTAAAAGCAATAACAAAGTATACTGAGATAAATACAATGTATTAAATATGCAATGAATGAGTAAGGTGCCATATACGTATTCTGAAAAAATAAGCATATTGTTAAGTACAATTTAAACATATGTAATATATAATGTAAGATAGCTGAATTCCTTAACTACTTCTATTTTTGTCGTTGTTTAAGTTAAGTACCAGTTATTTGATTGTCTTCCTTTTGCAAAGACCAGCATTTTTGTCTTTTAACTGCATGTCATTGTCCATCAATCATGCTGTACAGAACTCGTTAACATAATTGAGTTGCATTTGTAGATCCTCTTTTGTCATGCTTGTATTGGCCAGTCAGTACAGAATCATACGCGTACACTTATACAAACAGTTTAAAATATATAGAACAATCTGTTTCTAAGGTTTCAGTGAGATTTCTTTCTTGTGAATAAAAAGTGTACTGCGTCGTAGGGTGAAAATAAGAACAGGCCTAGGTGATACACTTTCTCCTCGTCTTACAGGATCTTACAGCAAATAGTACCTTGGAAGAAATCCGAGGCTACAACGAAATAACCCTCCACTTAATGTTATTAAACATATGTGTACATTTTTCGATTTATTTTGCATTTTAAATCTAAATTATTTTTTTTCAAGAATACACAAAAAATTGTTATTAAATTTTTCTTATGAAAGCCACTGTCATTCTCAGAAACAATTGTCAGTTTTATTATTTGTATTTCATGCCATGCCATTTAATGTAAATATGTTTGCACAAATAAATATCTTAGACTAATGAATATAGATATAAGAAGATGTGGTATGAGTGCCAATGAGACAACTCTCCATCTAAGTCACAATTTGTAAAAGTATGCCGCTACGGCTGTCGGTTGGTAATTCAACGCCGAACAGAAATTCAAGTCACAAAATTGATAGTACAAAAAGCAACAATTAATTTATTTACAATCGTTTAAACATATAAGAGAAAATGCTTCTTTTTATTGAATAAATTCATTTTCCATTACAAGGATGTGTATATATAGTACTATACAAATCCTTGTTCATTAGCATATTTTGCTTTGTATGACCATGATGACCGTATGCGAAACTGTTAGGGGGGATAGAGGAATATCCATATGATTATTGTAACATGACACACACACACCAGTCGTTGGCATGTCTATTCGAAATATTACGATGACTGATTATGAGTAGACCCCTCTTTTGATCTTATCAATTAACAATAATCATAGTTATATTTGTCTACTTTTCACCAGTGATACGAGTTTGTTGAGAGGCTTGAAGGGGGAAAGTGGGCAAGTGTGTAAAGAGTTGGGGCGCGCAGGTCGATCGGACGACGGCAATGGGACGAGTTGTTATTATTATTTTCAACCCTGGACATATTTCTTGTCTACACGAAACCAGTCGATTTTCAAGTCACTTTGTAGCATACTCAAACTTAACAAAAAACAGACTAATATATAGCCATGCACATTTTTTTATTGTTCTTGTCTCAGACAAAATTCAAAAGGGGCACCTGTCTGTTTACTGTGTTGCTAGGTCATTATATTACTTCCGGTTCGTGAGAAGGACTTGTCTTTAAAATGTTTAGGAGCTATCGAAAAAATAATTGAATATCAAACACCCATTCGATAAATCTTCGTAAATTTGGAGGCAATTACTGGAATGAAAAAGTGAAGGATTATTACTAGCGGTAGGTAAGAAGGTGTAATAATGTTTGTTATTAAAGATATATAAACAGAATACGAAAAGGGATTAATATAAACATTGTATTTCCCGATAAAGACCTAGAACGCAGTTTTTAAGCATGTTATGGTCCTTATGATTTTTTTTTTGACTTTAATTTGCTATCACAAGGACTATATAAGAGCTACGGTTCCGCAGCTACCCTAATAACAGCATTAAAGCAATTTATACAATTTGACGTTTACAGTTCATAATAAAGAATCTATGTCAACTCGTACAAGATGCTTACCAACTTTTATTCAATTTTTAGAAAGTATTCATATGCAGTATATATAGTAGCTATTTTCTGTCATGTAAGAGGGTAGTAATGGGGGTACCTTCATGACGAATAACGGTAAAAATTCTTGCCAAATGACGCTAACGATAATTTTTGGTGCATAACGATAAAGTGTACACTTTCTTTTAGACGATAAAAAAATCGACTGATTTTGACGCATCACGTTAATTTTATTCCAAAAATGACGCTAACGATAATTATTTGAGACCTCTGACGAATCAGGACAATGATATTTTGACAATTCATGGTAAAATTTTAACCAATTTGACGCTAACGGTAGCCGAAAATGACCGTTTGACGACTGACGGTAAAGGGCATTACTACCCTCATGTAAGATTTTAAACAAAATAAAAGAAAGAAGAGATATGCTGATTTGAAATTATATTTATATATTATATATATATACAATTTAGTGATCATTATATGGTGGACCTACAAACTGATTAGATTGGGGTTTATTAAATAAAAAACAGAGATAGGTTCACAAAAACATAAATTTCTGAATAGATATGCCACACAATCAGTCAAAAAATAAATTTTACAAAATTCCCTGCAGATTTCAAGACGAAGATGATGTGCTGTATGTGTCATTTAACAGGCTAACAAGAAAAAAACTGGTGAATTCATTACTTCACACTGAGACTACTATAACACATGTGTTATAGTAGTCTCAGCTTCACAATCAAAGGAATTAATATTTTTAGGTCCTATTTAGTACTACATGTATATAGCTCTTTTAACAACTGTTTCTATTCTTATACATCCTTTGGCTTTCAAATATTTGGCTTCGCAAGTTCCTGATGAAGGTTAATCCAGAAAAGCGCTTCGCTTCGGACACATGTAATTCATGTAATTTAATAAGTGTTGTTCTTATTTTTTAAGCTCCATTTGAAACATAGCCATGTTTGTCAATAAAAACTAATTTTTTTATCACTAGACTAGAAACCTGTTATTAAATACAATTTTTGAAAATTGGCCGAAATCTTCAATTCCTACATGTCCTAAGGCCAAATAAAAATATATGTGTGGTTCCAGTTACATCCTGAAAACAAATATGGTCGGTAGGTAGGCAATTTTTAAAAAAAACATTTTTTTTTGGGGTATGTCAAAATCTGGAAATAAATTGTGTGTTCACTGAGTCTGATTCCTGTGTTTTACACTCTCCTACTGAAAGTTCACCATTTTCTATATGCTTATATGTTTGGTTGTAAAATAGACATGACAGACATGTTACGTTTTTAGTTAATTCTGTTGCATTCTATTGGCCCGAGAACACAGTTAGTTGGTAGTGCATTTCTTGTAGACAAAAAACGCAAATTAAAAAAATCGCACCTGCTCTATCCAAAACGATTTTTACAGTGTTGTGTACTACTTTTGGGATCAATTATAGAAAAGTCAATCGGCTGTAACTCAAAATATGGATAATTTTATGTTAAGGGGGTCTGTAATCCAGTTTGACAGCTTCAGACATACTAATTTATGACCTTTTCAAACTGGACCAAATCACTACTTTACCTAAAAATTTATGCCCCAAATTTTTTTTACATGTAATTTCATCCCCCTACTTACTATTTGAGGCATAAAAAATAAAGAAGTAAATTTGGAAGGTGTATGAAAAAAATTTGCAAGTTATACACTGTCCACACTAGGGACTCTATTCGTAGGCAACGAAAATCAAAGGACGATAACTGTGTCCCCGGACCTAATAGGATAGAAAGAATTGACCAATTTTAATAAAACTTGGCATGATTTAAGATTAGGGAATTATAAGACAGTTTACCAAGTTTCATGGCAATAGAATATATATTAGAGATCATATGGTCATTCTTATATTTGAACTTTGGGTGTTTATTTTTTATGTTTAAATCAAACAATTTCAACTATCAAGATTTGGGCCTACAAAATTTAAATATTGAAAAAAATTACTTTTTAAATGCCTTAATATATTATGTAGCATGTATATAAAGCAGCTGAACACTCATTTGATGTATCAGATTTATAACAATTCTTCAAAAGTCAAATTTATATGAGCCTGTGTCTGAAAATAGAGATTTTCCAATGAAGGGGGGGGGGGGGGGGGGGGGGGGGGGGTGGGGGGTGGCTTACATGTATATAAAATTTGTAATTTTGTCCACCAAATTAAAATTTGTGAAGTAATTTTGCTAGAATAAATAATTCTTTCATATATATTCAATGTACTTTAAATGGAAAGAAAAGTTACAAATAGCATACCACATGAGTATAAAATGGTCCTAGGCCATGTAAAACTAAAAATAATGTAGGGTCAATTTAGGCCGTTACACATAATTACATATAAAAATGCATATAGAAGCTATAGTAAATAGAAATTTGTTTCTTTTTGGTCCTTTCTATTCTAAGGTGACATGATGCAAGAAGTCTGAATACAATAGGACTCTTGCATTCAACTTTTTTTGCAGACATTATAGTCTGATGCAAAGTTTTTTTCACTTTTTAGTGGAAAACTTGCGTGTAATTTTAGTCTCAATAGGCATATATTTGAACCACTTACTATCCTACAGAAGAAAAAAAGGTGTCATATGAAAGGAAACTGCTTGTTATACAGATTTAGTGAACTCTTTATAATGGACTTCAACTTTTATGTACATGATGTTGATGATGCATATAGACCTAGATGAACGGCACAGGCTCTTTATAGTTTCTAGTTTTTGTTCCCACAGAAGGTGCCAAAATAAACTAAATCTTTGTATTACAGAAAAATTATTTTACCAGGGTTTTCAATATCTCAAATTTGTCAAAACTTTTACTAAATTTTATCATTGGTACAAGGACATAATTTGTAAATATAAATCAACGTGCAGACATCTCATACGTTCAGGTATTTCACATACCATCTTTTATGGTATTATTCTATACAAAGCGCAAAAATGTCATCATTCACCACACAAGCTTACCGAAACTTTACAAGACTTATTCACAAGGGATATAGTTATGATACTGTTGTCAAGTCATTAAATATGGCATTTTTTGGAATTAATATTGATTCACTCAGGGTCTTTGCATTGGAAATAAACACATTAATTCTGAAACCAGTTGTTGGCATGATATGGGTTATGTTCTCATATAATTTATGATGGCATGATACTAAACCCCTAATGGGAGGTACAAAAATGTATAGTGGTTGATTTTTATATGATGAAGACATAATCTTTCACTCAGTATAATTGATGTTTGGAGCTGGCATGTTAGTAATTGCTAGTAGTCCTTTGTTAATTTATGTTATCATTTTCATTTTGCTTAGTTAATCTGTTGACTATTCTAACATCGGACTTTGACTTCTTTTAAACTGAGTTTAACTGTGCGTATTGCTGTGATTTTGTTTACTCCACATTAGTTGAAGGTATAGGGGAGGGTTGAGATCTCACAAAACTTGTTTAACCACACAACATTTTTGCACATGTCCCAAGTATAGAGCGTCTACCTTTGTTACTCTTGTATTTTTTATTAATTTTTGTTTGTTTGTATGTTTCCAAGTGTAGTGTGGCGTTCATTTGGCTGAACTAGTTAGTTTTCTCGTTTGAATTGTTTTACATTGTCATTTCGGGGCCTTTTATAGCTGACTGTGCTGTATGGGCTTTGCTCATTGTTGAAGGCCGTACAGTGACCTATAGTTGTTAATTTCTGTGTCATTTGGTCTCTTGTGGAGAGTTGTCTCATTGGCAATCATACCACTGTGGTGAATCAATCTAATATTGCGCGCTTACCGCAGAGCTATCCAAAAATTCTGGGGAGAATACTGCCACATCTTCTTTTTTATAGTATACATTATTGTTCAGGGGCCAGCTGAAGCTCGCCTCTAGGTGTAAGATTTTCTCCATGCGTTGAAGACCCATTGATGGACATGAGCTGTATTCTGCTCTTTGGTGGGTTGTTGTCTCTTTGACACAATCCCTGTTTCCATTCCCTATTCTAACTTTGGAAAACAAGATGGCTCACTGTAATTTATACAAGATAAATATTTCAATTGATTCAGGAGGGTTTTATAATTTAAAAAGACGTGTGTCAACAGCAAATTGTATCAAGTGCTGTCAAGTTCACTTCTAATTTCTAAGTTCATGTTGGCTAAGGAGGTGTCTCTCTTTTTTGACGTGATTTTTGGTTGGTATCTTCTCCCTTTTTTGTTATTACATGTATTATTGCTTTGTATGTCTTTTTCTTTTTCTATTTTTGTTTATGTTTATATTTTTAAAATCATGGTTTAATATGATACCCATTTCCTGAGGATTTGAGTACACCATTTCCTGAGGATTTGAGTACTGTTGATTCCTACTGTCAATAGCTGTAAAATTATTTAATGGATATATATAACAGAACAAACGTCAGGACAGTGAAAAGCTACATATAAAAATTGAGGTCATGAGACAAATTTTCTAAAATAGCATGTAAAAGAAAAATCATTTATTCAATAATTGTACTTGTTTTCATTGACAATCAATGTAAAATAAGTACCGAAAAATCATATGTTTTAGGGGGAATAGACTCTGGTACCAGTTTATATTGGCATGCTCAAACTTTTTGAATTAAATTATTACATAAGCATGTAAGATACATGAACATATGGATCAAATTGAATTAAAATTAGGACAGTGAAATCCGTTGGATTTAAAATTAATAAAAGAATATACATGTAATGCA